CTGAGTTGGTTCTTATGTCAAGAACCCCTGCCTGCTCTGATTTCTGTTCTCATTAAATAATCTCCCCCACTTGTATGCATTCTTAACTTTGTAATGCCATCCATCATTATGTGACATAGTCAGGAGGGTCCTCACCAGAGCCTGCACCATGCTGTTTAGACTTTACCTCTCAAAACTGTGAGCTAACTAAACCTCTTTTCTTGATAAATGTCCCAGCCCCAAGTATCTCATTATAGTAACAGAGAATGGACAAATACAACTATAAAGACTAGGATTGTGTCAGAGAGAATCTCAAACTTCAACTATGTCTGGAAGCAGAGCTGGATGTAGATAGCAGAATCTTGAAAGAGACATCAATTTTGTGGTTGGAGAGTGTTCCCAAAGTGTGGAGTTTGGTGAAAGGAATACGTACTTGTTAAAGTTGACAGGACAAAAAAATGACTGCCTCCCCGTCATTGACTCGTTTCTCCTTGGAGGACATCTTGTCCTCCCCTGGAGTGACAGTAGTGACAGCATTCTGTAGGACCTGGCTGACACTCTTGATTGCTCCCCAATAGCCATTCCCAGTCTTCTTTCCTAACAAAGCCTCAATTCTATTCCAGTGGCAATGTGCCCAGCCTCAGGCGATGAATCAAGATTGGCCAAAGCCTCTTTATTGGCAACCCCATTACCCTTGCCAGTGAAAGGGTGGTGACCATGTGACCTAGTTTGGGCTGATGGCTATAAGAGAATTCTACAGGAAGATGATGGGAAAGATTTCCCCCCTGATTTAAATAAAAGAAAAAGTTTCACAAAAAGCTTTTTCCTTTTTCCCTTCCCAACCTTGGCTATTCTGGTTTAAAGACACATGTGTGGAGCTACAGCAGCCATCTTGCATTCATGAGGAAAGGACAAGAGAATGGCAGATGCAATCTGGCACCCGGGTGTGACCAAGACATTGAACTAACCCAAGATATCTTGACTTTCTTCCAGGCTTTTCTTATACGATTCAGTGACTGTCATGTTTAAGCAACCACACTCAGATATTCCATTACCCGCCATCACAAGTATATACATTGATTGTACTAGTTCATTTCCCATTACTATAATGAAATACCAGTGACTACTGGTAACCACCTTATAGAGGAGGAAGCTGAGGCTCAGGAAGCTGAAGAGGCTGGATGACAGCTCTAACTAGTGGGACAGATCTGAAACTCTCCCCAGCTGATGAGAAGCTGCATCTGCTCTGCCCTGCTCTGCCTCCTGGTGAGGAATTCACTCAGCTCACCGTGTCCCCTGGTTCAGGAGCTGTGCCTTGAATCTTCAGAGCCAATGTGGAAACATCCAACTCAAAAATTCCAAAAACTGACTTTGAAAAGAACACACCAACAGTTGGCCTGTTCTAAACATGCTGCTATTATTATAAAGCTCTTCCAAACTGTGGCCTTTAAAATAATTTTTTTTTAAGGCAAGAAAAGAGTGGAGAGAGAAAGTAAGCATGCCAGAAAGTAATTGGAAGGAAACCTTTTTTTTTTTTTTTTTCTTTTTTTTTCTTTTGGTTTGGGAGCCAAGAAATGCCAAAGAAACAAAAGTAGTTATGATTTACACTCTATCTCTAGTTGTGCAGGGATTAAAAAATAGGCATCTTTATTAGAATGGACACCACAGAGCTGTTCTGACAAGTAGATACACTGCTACAAAGGCTGGAAACGCTACAGTTGATTTTGAGTTTGATAGAAACTTCACTAATATACATAGTTGATGGTAGGGAAGGAAAGCACTTTAATTTTATTCCCAGTCTCTGGGCTTTTCTTGTTTTCAAACTGATTGGTCTGGACAATGGAAGGCCAACAGCCAACAATAAATCCATTGTAAGCTGGAAATGGTCTCCTCTGAATACAACTAAATATTTCTTTAATCCTTGCATTAAATTTTTTACTGTAATATAAAAGCTATGCACTTTAAAGCCTAAGCTTTTGTAACACTTTTTGTGTTAGTTTTGTAACACAGTAACTAGAAGACTGATTAATTAGGCAACCTACTTAACAGTACTTTCATAGTGAAATATCAAATGTTTGTTTTGTGTCCATATTTTCAAATTACACTGAAGACACTATCAGGAATGGGTCTTGCTCAGAAATTTTGTGTTTATATCCTAAAAACCATTTATTCCCTTTTGTTCCATGGGAAGGGTCTTTAATAATCAAGCAATAACAAGAATATTCCTTTTCTGTAGCTTCTGTATCTACATTATCAGGCACATCAGCCAGTCCCAGAAAAATTTATGTCACAGTTCTGTTCCCAAGGGAACAAGGATAGTGGGTCTCCTCCTAACAGTGGCTTTTGTTGGCTTTCTTTTCTTTTTCCTGACATTAAAGTTGTGTGTGGTTGGCAAGGATTTTTTTTTTTTTTAATTTGGGCAGGGTTTCTGCCTTTGATACTCTGAAAATGAGTTTGTTGGTAAAAGACAAGCCACAGGCACCTTCACACATAATCGCTTCGGCACTGACTTAGAAGAGGCTCCACTGAGAACAAATCTGAGCTTAGGAAAAAAAAAAAGTTCAAGTACAAACATTCTTTCCTTAACAGATTTTTAGTTCGATATTTAATTATCCTTTGTATCTAGCGGTTCAAAGAAGTAACTACACATCTATTTAAAGCCAATTACTGGTTCCCCATAATGGGCCTCTCACTGTACCCTCATCTCAGCCAGGGAACTCACTGTCACGAAGCTGTGTACATTTCCCATCCAGCAACATTTACAAGAAGCATAGCTAGTAGCAAGAATTGATTGATGTCCAGAAAGAGAGATGCCCACTCATGGGGGACACCTCAACAACCAGAAGCTCAATACCAACTGGCATCCACATGGAGCCATCTCTGACTCTCCACTGGCAAGGCAAGGTGGGCAAGTACAATACAAGTACCCCAGATACTGAACTCTGCGTAGTTAGTAGTATGATGTGTCCAAGGGTATAGCAAAATCTTGAGTAGGAATCTCAGGATTCTAAAATTTCCCTTTGCCTTTCTAATCAAGAGTGGTAGAGAGAGAGGGGGAAAAGAAAGAAAGGAAGAAAGGGAGGAGAGAAGGGGAGGGGATAGTAGGTGGAGAAAGAAGTGGGAGGGAGAGGAGGAGGAGGAGGAGGAGAGGGCAGCTGAGCTCTGACCACTAAACCATCTCTGTCCTCTAAATCATTATTCAATCACCACAGTCCACCCAAGTGACATTCTGACAGAAGTGTGATGAAGTAGTCTTTCCCCACTGAAGTTCAGGACTAAAAGAATCAACATTTCTGAGCAGTGGCTACTTTCCCAAGACCCCCCATCCCTATTAGTACAGACATAATTTGTTAAGTTCCTTATTAAAAGGTTTTACCAGGCCTTCTGATTTACTCAATAAGGGCTTGTGGTTTATTTTTACTAAGTCCGCAGGGCCTCATGGTAGAAAGAACAGCTGCAGTTATAGCATTCACAGGTAGAAACTTTACGGGCCCTCCATAAATCAATTCAACACCCTGGTCTCTAGGGATTTGCCAAAAGATAATAGACAGCAATTATAAAACCATTGCCAGGAGTTGCCAGCAGGGTTCGGGGAAATTTTTGAAGTCTGTAGGCACTTTCAAGGGGGAAAAGAGGAAATCATTTTAGGAAACAGCAATTTTGCCCAGAATCAAGTAAAAGAGATGTAAAACTGGCTTAAACTGACTAAGAAATAGGTGTGGTGAACAAGGAGGTATGATATGTGTTCTTCCATTCTCCCTAAGATGCCAGATTAACTTGACAATGGATACAGAGTGCAATATATGTTTGATGGTGTGAATGGAACCCAGGGCCTTGCTCATGCTAAAGAAGCACTCTACCACCAAGCTACACCTCCAGCTCTACACAGCGTGACATATTAGTAAGGATCACAGTAGGCTATGGTTTAGGGAATTGGGGGTAACAGGCCTGCCCTCCCTTCCTCTACCATGAAACACTTGCCTCATTTCCTACAGCACTTGAGGATGTCCTTTGGGATCTTGGGTAGCCACCCTTCCCAAGAGGAAGAGACCACTCAGGCAGGGGAGATGGCAAGGCCAAAAGCAGCTCTGGCCAGTGCATTGGTGCCTGTTCCTGTTCTATGGGGAGAACTAATGCACCAAACTCGGAAACTAAAACCAACTTTGAGGTCCCAAATGTGGCTCCTGCTCTGAAGACAGCAATCCTAACTCTTTAGACGAATCTCAGAGACTCACAGGACATTACCAACCTGGGGTTGGGGGATGGATCAAATTCGTATTGCAGGTGTGCCAACTCAGGATGTGATGCGTCCCCACTGCTCAGGTGGCATCACTCGAAACCAGAATGCAGATGTCAGGCCTTGTTTTTACTTCCCCTCAACCTACCCAGCTAATGTGGACACCGCACTCAGTCACGGCAGCCTGGGGGCACAGCATATCCAGGATGGAGCTGCTTCCAAACTTTAGTTTCCAAACTTTAGTTAGCACCTAGGACTAATGCGACCCCTCCAAGACCCTGAAGCTTGTCTGAAGTTTCCCTCTACTGCGGCCACCGGCTGCTTCAGGTAGACCAGAGATGGGAACTAGAGTCTGCGGACACTTCCAGCGTGAGCCTTGTCATTATCTGGGGCTCTCCACCGCAGGCGGGAAGTCCTGTGTCCGAGTGCACACAACTGAGAAGACCAGCTCCCAGGACAGTTACTCCAAGTCTGTGGTCTTAATTTTCCCTTCCCCTGCTGTACCCCTAAATGGTTCTTTTGGCTCTCTTTCCCCCTATCCGCAAACCCTGGCAGAAGATTCTGAGGAGGGAGCAAAGACAGCAGGACCACTCTGGGCCGACAGCCCCAGTCTCCATCTCGGTGTGGGCCTCCTAGATGTCCTCTACAGCGCTCAGCCCCAGGGCGACCCCTCCTCAGGGCAACAGACACGCCGCCCCTGGCTCTCGGAGCACTGACCTTCCCCCAGCTCCCCCGTTCCCGGATTCTGGTGGGACCACCCCTGCCCCGCTCCCGAGCGCCTCACCTCGCGCAGCAGGCGCTCCAGGTGCGGCTCGGCCCAGGCGTCCAGAGTGCCCGGCGGCCCCGAGCGCCGCAGGAGCTCCCGCTCTTCCTCGAGTGCCGACACCCGGCCCTGCAGCGCGGCTGCCTGGGCGCCCAGCAGCAGGCAGGCGGCCGCCGAGCCCACGGAGAGCAGCAGGCACAACGCGCTCACCGCCCGCGACCCGGCGGTCGTCGCGGGGCGCCCTCCGCCTCCGCTCCCAGCGGGGCTGCTCTTCTGCGCGTCGTCGCCGCTGCCGCCACCACCGGCGCGCTCGCCTAGGCTCATGGCGCGCTTGTCGCACGAGGGCTCTCCGAGGGTACCGCGCAGAACTGGGGCAGCAGACTGAGCGCACAGGAGAGCCCGAGGCACGAGGACGTCCCAGCGCGGGGCTTGGCCTTCGGGTAGTAGCGGATCGCGGCGCACGCCCCCTTCTCCTCGCCAGCTCCTCCACAGCGGCCACTTTGGACAGTTTCCTCTATGCAAATAGACCCTGCCAGAAAAGGAGCCGGGACCCACCCAGGGGAGGAGCGGCCTGGTCGTTCTCCCTCGGCGAGGGGCGGGGGCGAGAAGGGAGTCAGCTTTTGAGAGCCATTCGGGTGAGCCAGACTGACCCAGTGCGCAGCGCGCCCTCAGCCCTCACCTGGCCCGGGCTCCGGGTTACATCCATCCCGGCGTGAGCGCCTTTGTGACTTCCCGGCCATGGTCTCCACAGCGATCCCCAAAAGTACGACATGCGTCCAGAGAGTCAGTGCGTCTTCTGCAGCCCACTCATTCTGGAGCGCCAATTGTGCCTTGGGAGCATTCACCTAAACTTTTGTGATTTAACCTTTCGGACACTTTTAAATAAAAGTTCAAACTCCAAATCCTGAGGAAAACAGTGACTCGGTCCTAGATGGTGGCTTAGCGCCGCTTGGCGGCCAAAAGAGACGTCTGCAGATTGGCATTTAGAGACGCAGTCAGAATCCAGATTGAGACAAAGAGAAAGATGCCTGTTAGAATCTTAATTTTCTCACCATGTATTATAGGTCAGGTATGGTGCTAGAAACAAGATGAGAAGACTTCGTTTCTGACCCAAGGGGAGAAGTTAGTTGAGAACAGACTATAACAAATGGGAAAAGATGTGGAAAGGAACTCCAGCTTCTGAACTCGACGACTTAATTTTGCGGTAGAAACATAACTCAGCCAAAAATAGTCATCTAGTATGTGTCATATTTAACCTGAACTGCCATCGTGCTGCATATTTACATCATGGAGTTAAGGCAGAAAAGCTCTGGATACAGTTGTGTCCAGAGAAAAGAATAAAACTTACTTGCAGAAGTGGCCCAGTCTTGGCAGGAGAGGAGAGGAAGGCTTTCTGCTTGCTGGCAGTCCTATCAGGCATATTTATAGCCCAAAATGGGTCCCAAGCAACTCCTCTGGTATCCAATTAACCACCACTAGCGTATTAGATCTTTGTAATTAGGACAACTCTGAGATTGTCTTTTAGAAAAAGATGTCTCTCTCTTCTTTCTCATTTTTCTGGATATCTTATTTTTTTGCAGATGGATTACTTCTCTCTTAAAACTGTTGAAGCCTACAGCTAACAGGTTCCTCCTGCTTCCTTGAGGGCAAAGGTACCCTAGAAATTGCTTGATAAGAAACAGAAGGTGGTTGGCATCTCACATCTGCAACTTTGTAGCTGTGGCCTTGCATAAATTGGGGTTATGGCTGGATGGTTATGCAGTCTTGGCCTTGTGCTAAAATTGACTGTATGGTCAATAAATGTGAAGTACCTGTTAAGCAAACTTGATCATCTACTCATTAAAGGGACTAACATCATATTACAAGTTAGTACTCATTCTTACTATAAACACATGTAAATTGTCCTTATTAAAAAAAGAAACTTATGTTAATGTTAGTGCCTGTACTGTTCACTGTATTCAAGAGGCTTCTGTGTATTGAACAAACCAAGCTCATTGGACGGTTGGGCCTTTGCTCTTCCCTGCTACCTCGCCTTCTGGATTGTCCTCCTCCCTAATCTTTGAATAGCAAGTTCCTCCTTATCCTTCAGGTCAAGGTCTCCAGGTCTTCAGCCTCTTGTCTGAAAGGCCTTCCTTCCCAGACTGCCTAATTGAAGGTGCTTCTATCTTTAGTTCTTGCAGAAGGACTGATTAGGGAATGGGAGCATTTATCACTGAAGTTACCTTTTAACCACATACTCTTTATTCACCACTGTCTTCTCAAAGAACAGAACACTATCTGGCACATAGTTGGAGCATTTATCATTGAAGTTACCTTTTAACCATATCCCCTTATCATTCACCATTGTCTTCTCAAAGAACAGAACACTATCTGGCACAGAGTCAGTGCTCAATAAATGCATTAAGATGAAAAATGCCTACTGCCCCCAACTCATTTTAAAAGGCAAGAAAGAAATCACTCTTACATGTGCAAGTTGTGATCCTAGAAGGAAAAGATATAGACAATTTACATGGGATGAAGGGAAGCCAGCCAGATACTGAAGTACTCTGATGCTATCTACAGTGGGAAGCCATTATTACCACCCTGTCTAGCTGAAGAGTGAGAGAAAAAAATGTTCTCAGAACCCTGTGAAAGCTTAGAGCTGTGAGAGGAGCTGTGACCGTTGGTAAAATTCACAGCTTCTGCCAAACTGTATCTTGGAAAGGAGGGAACTGGAGGAATTTCATTCAACTTTTCCCTGCTGGGGTCTCCCATTATCCAAACCTCCAAAGAAGGTCAGCCCTAAAGGGCAGAGTCAGAGTGTAGAGGGCAGATGGGGCAGAGTATACACCTACCCTATACAGCATGTACCAAGTTAATCTAGCTACTGCTGCCTTTGAATAGCTAATCTGTCAGCAAATGCTAACACCCCGGCATGGTGTTTCTCAGTGACTGTCTACCTGGACTACTTTGGACTCACTCCATCCAGAACAGGGGTAGCTATTCCAGACACAAGCTTATCTTTTCTATCCACGAAGCCTCATCCAGCACCACCATCCTTATAGAATGGCCAGCCCACAGGTAGGGAATCCTGTATACCACAGCCAACCAAGGGATACACTTCACCGGAAAGATGGTAGGAGTAAAGTCTAAGGCCAGGGAATTCACTGGTTATTACTGCATCCTGAAATAGCCAAACAGCCAGCCTCACAGAATACTGGAATTGCCTTTGAAGACACAGATGAAGCACCAACTCAGAGGCAATCCTCTGTAGGAACGCAGTGCCATCTTTCAGGACGGAGTAAATGTATTACACCAGGAACTTCTCTATGATGTTGTTCTCCAAGTAAGAAAACATGGGTCCAGGAAGTAAGGAAGAGAAACAAGAGTGTCCCTACTACCATTGGAGGACTCTGTGCTTTCTATCCTCACAACTCAGCTCTGCAGGGTTAGAGATCCTAGTTCTCAAAGGGGTAACTCTTGTGGAAAGTGAGATAGAGAGATCCATAAAGAAAAAGCTATGGGGGCCAATCACTTTGGATTGCAGTCACAAACACCATTCTGGCAATAGTAACTGACCCTGACCAACAGGAAGAGGTACAGCTGCTTTTATACAATGAGGGAGGGGAAGAATATGCTAGGCAATTTCTAATACATGTTTGCCTTACAGCAGCTGAGGGAAAAAAATGTGCAAGAAGCTGGCCTGATGATTGAGAAGGACTCAGAATCTTCAATATAAGAGCATTAAAGAATATTTTACAAAATAGGGATTTGGGTGAGATAGGATTAATAACCATGGCAGAATACCATAAATAAAGTCAATAATGACAAAGTTTAAATATGTTCGATATGCTGTTCAAGAAGGCAGGGGTATGTAATCTGTAAGTATTTCCAGCAAAAAAATAAAAATAAAATAAAAATAAACTATAAGGTTTTAAGGGATAAACTAATTACATGAAGGAAATTGTTACATAGGGAAAATCACCAGCTCTTCACTTGGTGCCTTAATTTCAGCCCTGGCTCCACTAGCAGCTCAGTGTATTTATCGGAAGCAAATTAACTACCTTCTGACCCTCTGTGTTGTTTTTAAAATTCAGATATTGGCAGGGACCAGCCAAATTTACCCTCCTGTCTGAAACAAACAGAAAACTGTATAAAATGGCAGTTTTTGAGACACTGGCTATCAAGCAACAATAAGGACAGTGATCCTTGGGAGATGGGAAACAAAGTGAACCCAAGGATACTCTTATCAGGCTACAGCACAGGGAAGGGTCCCAAGCAGCTGACCTAAAGCGGAGAGAAAGCTGTGAGTTTACGAAGGCCAAAGCCATTAGTAGTTGCAGAGCAGACAATTGGAGGACAGCCACTATGGAGTTAGAAAACCACCAGAGAGGAGGACTGTAATCCTGAGTGGAAACAAACCCACAACTAACAAAAGGCCAGTATGAAAAATCTGATAATTCAGAGGGTATCAGGTGGAGTACTCAAAGTTTCTGACTAAGTAGTAGAGGGAAAAACTAGCCCTACACTAAATAAACATTGCCTAACAAAGCTTAAAACCAAAGCCTGAAAAAATCAAACTGATTGAAATAACTTAACCATGTTCATAATAGAAATAAAGTTTACAAGGATACAAAATAGAGTAAAACAAGATGCAAAATTACCAGGAATGTAAGAAAATATGACCCAGAATAGAAGAGCAACTGGTCAAAACCAATCTAGAAATGACAGAGAATTAGACAAAGGTATTAAATTATAACTATATTCATATGTTCAAAGAACTAGAGGAAAGATTGAAAATGTCAAGTAGAGACATGAAAGATTAAAAAAAAAAAACCAATAAAATTCTAGAGAATGTTTGAGATGAAAAATACACTGGATGGGATTAAAGGCAGACTAGACACTATAGAAAGATTAATAAACCTGAAAATACAGCAAAAGAATCAAAATGAAAGAGGGGAAAATAATGCAAAACATAAAAAACAAAAACACAAACAGAGCATCAGTGAGTTGTACAATAATTTCAAAGGGACTAATAAACACATAACTCAAGTGCCTAGAGGACATAAAAATTCTGAATGGCAGAAAATTAATTTTCCAAATATGATAATAAACTTATGAATTCAAGAAGTTTAAGGAACGGAGGCACAAGAAACACAAGACAACTACACAATGCAGGCACATTACAAATTGCTTGAAATGAGTGGTTAAATAAAGATTAAAAAAAACTTAAAGCAACTAGAGAAAAAAAACATACAGAAAAAAAGAAAATAGCAATTTCTTGTTGGAAGCAATGCAACCCAGAATATAGGAAAGCAACATCTTTTGTCAAACTAGAATTCTAT